AAGGAAATATATGGTTTTCGGCTGCCATGTTACAATTAAGTGTTGAGACTTTAAAAGCCATTTTATGTGTGAAATATAATTTAACAAATTCTTGTGAAAATTTTCATGACCTTTTAAACAACAACAGCAATCTACTAAAAAACAATTCACTGAAATGACAAATATGCCAAAGAATAAAATAATATTATACATAATTTTTAAAATGTATTATATTTGTGAATTGTACTTATGTTGAAGTTTTAAAAAAATATATTACAATACAATTTTTGTGTTCTATGAAAATTTTTGTTGCTCCATATACACCAAATTTTTAATTAAGGAAACCCTTCCTCCCCCTCCCCCCCATCAATGTTGTCCCACTTTACCAATGTTAAAATCTGGTCACCTTAGCCCAGAGACAAGACCAGAGCAGAGATGTTCAGGCCAGGTTTATTGAAAGGGGAGGGTGACCCGCCTGGGCAGTGCAAAGGTGGTGTCTGTGCCTAGGAATAGTTAGAGACTCCTTTTATATGGGGCATGGGGGAGGACAAGTTCCACAGCTTACACAGAAAGTTAGGGTCTTTTGGGGAGAACTTCTCAGGAGTGGGGCTCACTAGGTCCTTTGTCTTAAGAAGAGAGGAGGAGGAGGAGGGGGAAGGGTTTGTATGTGGCTGTGTTAGGCACCATGAACACTCAATTCTACAATTTCAGCCATAGATGAAAAATAAACACAAAACACTAAAGCTTACCGGTCCAGATATCAAAGAGTTGTTTTTTTGCTGTAATGGCAATAAATTCCTAATTGGTTTCCTACTGAGCTCAAAATAGACAAATGGACAAAGACTAACAAACTATATTCTCTGTTGTCCTTCATCCAACAGAAAATAGATCTCTATAAAGCATTAATTCCTTTACAGAGATCACAAAATTCCCAATCATTGCAGCTACCAACAGAGAATAACTTGTCATCCATAAATGAAATAAAAAGGAAAACAAATTAATAGAGAGTAAAACTAAAATTAGAAAAACAAGAATCTACAAATTTCTATTGCTAGTTAAAATTTACCTGTGGGTAATGGCGAATGGGGGGTTTAAAGGTCAGGAAGGTGAAAGTGGGGACATTCCCTTTCCTGGGTTGGACATCTGTTGTAAGTGTGGGGATTGGCCCATTTACCTTTCCCAGTTGGGACATCCCAGAGGGTAGGGTAGGGGGTTGACTCATTCACCTTTCTTAGGTGGGATATCCTGTGGTAGAGGGTAGGAGGTTGATTCTTTTAGGCAGGTCCACCCTATTTGGACAGTGTTGATCCTATCAGGAGGTATATCACTTCCAATGATTTCAGATGACTCTCTTGCTCATCTCAGTGGGAACTCCAGAACTGTTAAAAAATGATTTTTTTTTAAAAATAAAGTCATCTGCCAGGCACAGTGGCTCACATCTGTAATCCTAGTACTCTGAGAAGCCAAGGCTGGTGGATTGCTTGAACTCAGGCGTTCGAGACCAGACTGAGCAAGAGTGAGACTCCCCTCTCTACTAAAAATAGAAAAACTAGTTGGTGTCCTTGGGAGCACCTAAGGTAAGAGACTAGCTTGATCCCAAGAAACTGCGGTTGCTATAAGCTATGATGACTCCAGGGCACTCTACCCAGGGCAATAGAGCAAGACTCTGTCTCAAAAAAAAAAAGGAAAAATAAAAATAAAGTCATGACTCTTATACAAATATAAAATGAGCATACATCAAAGATTCTATTTAACTCATTAATTAAATGAGGGAACCAGTAAAATTTTATAATCAATTCGAAGAAGAATCTAAACACCAGAACACATTTGTAAATAAAGAATATTGAAATAAATTTGCAAATGGATGCAAAACTGGCTTGGGCCGAGGGAGTTGCCCTTCCCTCCCCAACAGAATTTATTTGCATACGTATAGGCAGGAATTATTTGCAGTGCTATCAGATTTCTACAGATTAACCTTAATCATTACTGTGAACTAAAATAAAATCTTAAGCCCCCCAGCTGACTAAACAGACCCCCTCTTGGCCAAGCGGATCCCCAAAACACCCTAAATCTGAGTTGCTGACCATGAGAAGGGAGGTGAGACATACCTTGTCCTGCCCCCCTTCCCTTCCTGGAGATATCCTTTGTAACTCATTAGCAGATCTAAGACTAAGTAAGACAAAACTTAAATCACACCAGTAGGGCTTCAGTTTACTTAACAGATAACTGAGTCTTGATATATGTCCAGGGGCTTGTCTATGATTTAGCAGCCTTCCTTTTCTTAAACTATTCCAAGCCTTTAGACAAAGCTCTGTTTCTTAAACCAACTACCAAATCAAAGAATCTTTAAAGCCACCTGTAACTTGTAATGTCCCTCTTCAAGATGTCCCACCTTTTCCAGTCACACCAATGCACATCTTCCATATATTGATTTATGACTTTACCTGTAATTCCTGTCTCCCAGAAATGTATGAAACCAAACTGTCACCCAATTACAGTCCACTTGCTCTAGGCTGCTTGGGCATGGCTCTGGGCTTTTTAAATTATTTTACAGTGTTTGGGTCCTTTTCCCTTACATTTCAGAAATATAAAATAGATAATCAAAAACAAAGGTGCAGAGCAATAGTGTCAGGTAATCTCCAGAACTTCTAGCATTTCAATAGAAAGATCTCTAGTAATCTCTTTTGCTTATTCCAAAATCTTAATCCAAAGTCTTACCTTTTTCCTTCCAGTGGTAAATGCACACACATCTATGTTTGCCTAAATCAGTGAAATTGCTTCCAACAGTAATAAAGCAAGTATTAAAATCATGCTTACATTCTTTGAAATTCTCAGAGAATAAACCTGAGTCTCACTTTGTCACCCTCAGTAGAGAGCTGTGGCATCACAGCTCACAGCAATCTCAAACTCTTGGGCTCAAGTGATTCTCTCACCTCAGCCTCCCAAGTAGCTGGGACTACAGGCGCCCACCATGACACCTGGCTATTTTTAGAGATGAGGTCTTACTCTGGCACAGGCTGGTCTTGAACCTATGAGCTCAGGCAATCTACCCACCTCAGCCTCCCAGAGTGCTAGGATTATAGGCATGAGCCACCTCACCCAGCCTAGTCTTACTATTTTAAAGTAGTTCAATCTAGCTACTTTAGTATTTTAAGAATTAAAACCTGAATTACTAATTTCAAGAAGGATTTAAAGAGGCCAGGTGTGATGGCCCACACCTGTAATCCTAGCACTCTGGGAGGTCAAGACTGGTGGACTGCTTGAGCTCAGGAGCTTCAGACCAACCTGAGCAAGAAAGAGACACTCTCTCTACTAAAAGTAGAAAAATTAGCCAAGTGCATTGTGGCAAATCCCAGCTACTTGGGAGGCTGAGGCAGAGGGATAGTTTGTACATGGCAGTTTGAGGTTGCTGTAAGCTAGCCTGACGCTATGGCACTCTAGCCTGGAAGTGAAACTGTCTCCAAAAAAAAAAAGAGAAAGGAAGAGAGGGAAAAAAGAGCTTAAAGAGTTATACCCTGGACAAAAGTATAACTCTTTAGTATAAAAGATCAACCTATAGTGCTTATTTAACACATATGTTACTGAGCTGCAATTCTAGTGTGTCTCCTGGAGGCTTTGATAATGCAGATTCTCAGGCCCTGACCTCAGAAGTTTGGACAAGTCTGAGAAGGGGCCCAGGAATCTCCACTTTTTTTTTTTTTTTTTTGAGACAGAGCCTCAAGCTGTCACCCTGGATAGAGTGCCATGGCATCACAGCTCACAGCAACCTCCAACTCGTGGGCTCAAGCGAGTCTCTTGCCTCCGCCTCCCAAGTAGCTGGGACCACAGGCGCCCACCACAACGCCTGGCTATTTTTTGGTTGCAGCCATCATTGTTGTTTGGCAGGCCCGGGCTGGATTCGAACCCGCCACCTTGGGTGTATGTGGCTGGCGCCTTAGCCACTTGAGCCAGAGGCGCTGGCCAGAATCTCCACTTTTAATAAGAAATTCTTCCCTAAAATGATTCTGCTATAAGTAAAATGAAGGTTTCTCTTTGGAATCATTGTTTTACAAATGAAATTTTCTCCAGCTCTCCACCTTTCAGTGATTATTCTGAATTCCTATAACACTAGACTAACATCCAATATAATATATAGTATTATAATATATAATATAAACTTCTTCAGCTTACTCCAACTTAGTACACAGTTTGTATACAAGGATTTTGTTGAGACCTAGAGTTATTTACTTTCTATTATATAAGAAAACCACAAGAAACTGTAGTCCTACCACAAGTTTATTGCAAATAGTCCCCAAATTTCTGGGTTTCTGTGTTGCATACAGTATAACCTTAATGAAAAATTTGCCCCTAATAACAGATTTTGTTCAAGTATTAATTTATTTATTGACTTATTAGTTTGTTTATTTAACAGTGTCTCTTATCCTTAAAAAGCCTTGGCACCACTGGTGCTGACACAGTATGAGATCTAGGAATTGTACATTAGTTGCATTAATACTAACCATATTGTCCAGTTATACTAAAATAACCTATTTGGGCACTCATATCTTTTGGTAATATGGGAAATGTCTAAATAACTCCTTCTTTTATAAATTATGACTGATTATACAACAGGGAATAGTTTGAAGCACACAGACTTCCTTTTAGAACAAAAGATCTCTTTGTATCCCTGATTTCTCTGAATTTTGAAAAGAGTTACAATATTACTAATGATTGAAAATGCCCTAAGTATAAAGAAGTTTTAGTTTGCCTTAAAATTATATTTCTACCTTAAAATAAAATTATCTTAATATAATTTCATTTTATTTTACTGCTATTGGAAATGACATTTTTCCTTCAGTTAGAATATTAAGTTTAAATGAATGTATACTGCGGCTATTTTTCCATGCAGAGGATTAAAGCACTAGACAAACCTCACAAATAAGATGATGAATGGAGTAAGTTACGCTTGTGAAATTTATAGAGCTCAGACCTAGTAGAATTGCTTGGGGTTAAACTCATATTCTGTTGATCTTACCTTTTAGGGATTTTAAGCCTGATAGAACGAGGATTGATTCCACCAACAGCCAAGATTAACTTTAAGAATCCACCCATTATGCCCAAAGCAGCTCCTCTGCATAGTTTTGGTGAAGTACATAGGCTTCCAACTGTAGGTAAGTTGTTCTTGCCTCTATGCTCAGTTAGGGAGATACAGAAATTACCTCCTCCCCAAATTTAGCCTTCTAGTAGCCTTCTAACTTTTTTCCTTAATAATAGGGCAAGATGAAAGTTACAATCCTCCTGATTTTACTTTACTATGTAAAGTAGCTTTAGGCCAGGCATGGTGGCTCACACCTGTAATCCTAGCACTTTGGGAAGCCATGGTGGGAGGATCATTTGAGGGCAAGAGTTCAAGTCCAGCCTGAGCAACATAGTAAGATCCTGTCTCTACATACTTATATAGTACAGAAAGTAATTTTAGCCATCCTTGTAAATGACATATCAAGGGCCTGTGCTCTATGTGTGTTAGAAGGTTGGTATTTTCAAGGAGCTTGAAGTTTGGTTGGGGAAACAAAACAGATATAATAAAGATAAATAACAATACAAAGTAGTATGGAATAAAAACTAAATGGATGTTGAAGTCTAGTGATGTAGGAGTTCAGAGGAATTATTACTTGAGGGGTGAGATAATAGAAAAAGATTTCAAAGAGCAGACTGAATGAAATAGGGTGTATAGAAGAGTACTAATGGGGAATCTACTGACTAGTGGTAGAACCTCAGGCAAGCCATTTACTTTCTCTGCGCCTCAGCTATCTCAGTCATCAAATTAGAGGTTTGGGCTAAATTAATCTGTCTGTTCAACAATTATTTGTTGAATGCTTGCTTTAGGTAAAAGCAGCACTTAGGTGCTGGGGATCCAGCAGAGAATAAGTAAGAGAACTTTTCTATTTTCATGGTTCTTATACCATGAACACAGATATTCCAGTAAATAAAAGGGAATCTAAGCTAGTGATAAATGCTAGAAATAAAACCATATGAGAGTGATAGGACAGGGGCTACATTCTTGTGAGGGAAGGGTCAGAGAACAGCTCTCAGAAAAGGATGAGGCTTAAGCTGAGATCCAAATGATGAAAAAGAGCCAGTCATGTAAAGAACTAAAGAAGAGCATTTTAGATATATAACAGTGCAAAGGCCCTAAGGACTAAAGAGGGAATGAGCAAGAAGGTTAGTCAATTAGCAAGGGAAAGAGAGGGAAGAGATGAGGGTAGAGATGTTAGAGAGGGGTCACATGATGTAGGCAGGAGCAAACTATGAGTTGTCCTCAATATTCATTATTCTGTTTCCACAATAATAGACTTGTGGATAGACACATGTCAGCTTGACCAAAGATGACATTTCCTAGGCTTCCTTACAGCTGGGTGTGTCATGTGACCAGGTTGTGACAATGAGGATATAAGCAGAAGTACATAGGGAAAGTTCTTGGCTGTGCTCTTTACAGATAAGGGACATAGCTTCCAGGTTTCCTTCCCCCCATCCACCCCGCCCCCCATAGCTGGGTTGCAGAAGTGCTGATGAGAGCTGGATTAGCACTTTGAAGTTCCAAAGGTGGGACTCCCATTAAGCCTGGCTGAGCTGCCCCACCAATTCAGGACTATCTTTGTTTGACCTGTGTGTGTGTGTGTGTGTGTGACACAGAAAGAACTCTTAATTTATTTAGATCACCCAACGTATCTTAAGATCTTTACTTTTCAGACATCTTAGGCTATACCAGAACCAGCATGGCGGCTTTCCCAACTATGGTGAGGAGCTGGGTTTAATCCTAATGATAGTGAGAACCCACTGAAAGATCTAAACAGGAGGAGGAGATGATCTGATTTATGTTTTAATAAGACCATTCTGACCACTTTACTGATAATGAAGCAGAGGGAAGCATGAGTGGAAGCAAAACAACTCGTTAAAAGGCTATTTCAGTAAACTAGAAATAGTAGCGGATATGAGGATGTTAACAGTGGAGACAGGGAAGTGAGCAAATTCAGCTTAGATTTTGGAGGTGGAGCCACCTGAACTGGCTAATGGGTAAGAGTGAGGAAAAGAAAGGTGCGTAGGATAAATACATATGAATATATGGATATGTGTAAACATCCTTCAATTTTATATCCATTTTACTATTGATGAGAATTTCAGTGATTTTTACTTTAGAGTTATTGGGAATTATATTACTATGAACATTCTTCTATGAGTCTTTTAATGCACATAAATAGGCATTTCTGTTGGATGTATATCAAAAAAGGAGAATTGTTGAGTCATAGGGCAGCCATATATAATGATTTAATAGATACTGTCAAACAATATTCCAAGGGGTTGTACTGATTTCTGTTCCTACCAGCAGGATATGAGAGTTCCAGAATAATTTCTCTTAAGTGACCCTCCTGCCTCAGCCTCCTCAGGAGCTGTGTGCCAGCATGCCCAGCGATTTTTTTATTACTTTTAGTAGAGACAGTCTCACTATGTTGCCCAGACTGTTCTTGAACTCCTGGCCTCAAGCAATCCTCCCACCTCTGCCTTATGAAGTACTAGGATAAATGCCATGAGCCACTGCATCTGGCCAGAGGCAGATATTAAAATAACTATGATTAATATGTTAACAACTGAGTAGAAAAGGAAGACAACATGAATGAACGGCCTAAAGATTTTCAGCAGACAGTTGAAAACTATTAGAATCAAATAGAAATACTAGAAATAAAAAGCATCGTAACATATAAAGAATACCTTCAAGGGGTTCATCATAATAGACAAAGCTGAGGAAGGAATCAGTGAACTTCAAGATAATTCAAAGGAAATTACACAATTGAAACACAAACAGAAAAAAGAACAACAATAACAGAGCAATTAGGACTGTGGGACAATAACAGACAATTTAACATACATGTGATCAGAATCCCAGGAGAAGAGAGTATACGTTGGAAGAAAAACGTGAAGAGAAAATCAAACTTTTACAAAAACAATAAAAGACACCAAAGCACAGATGCAAGAAGCTCACAGAATATCAAATGGGAAAAATATAGCACAGACATACACTCAACACAAACGTCATATTCAGACTGCCAAAACCAAAAATAAAGAGATAAGCTTGAAGACAGCCAAAGAAAAAATGCACAGTACATACAGAAGAACAAACATATAAGAATTATAATATACTTGGCATCAAACACCATGCAAGTCATTAAATAATGCAGTGGGATTTTTAAAGCACTGAAAGAAATAGAAACTGTTAAATCAGAATTCTACTCCCAACAAAAATATTTTTCTTTTCTTTTTTTAGAGACAGAGTCTCACTTTGTTGCCCTTGGTAGAGTGCTATGGCATCGCAGCTCACAGCAACCTCTAGCTCTTGGGCTTAGGCAATTCTCTTGCCTCAGCCTCCCAAGACTACAGGTGCCTGCCACAACGCCTGGCTATTTTTTTTGTTGCAGTTTGGCCAGGGCCGAGTTCGAACCTGCCACCCTCAGTATATGGGGTTGGTGCTGTACTCACTGAGCCACAGGCATCACCCACAAAAGTATATTTCAAAAGTGGAGAATAAGTAGAATTCTTCAGACAAATAAGAGAGAATTCATTAGCAGGAGATGGCCTTACAGGAAATGTTAAAAGAATTTTTTCAAGCAGAGGACTATAATTCCAGAGGGAAATTTGGCTATACAGAAAGAAATGAAAATCCCTGAAACTAACTAAAACGAAGGTAAACAGAAAAGACATTTTCTCTGTTTTTAATTGCTCTGAAAGGTAACTAATGATATAAAACCAGAGTCAACAAACTTATTCCTTAAAGGACTAATTAGTAAATATTATAATTTAAGGTTTTGTGGACCATATACAATTTCAGTTGCATATTTGTCCTTTACTCCTCCTCCTTTTTCTTTTGCAACTATCACCCTCTTCTTCTCCCTCCTTCCCACTGTTCTTTTCTTCTTCATGATTGTTTAAGAATATAGAAACCATTCTTAGCTCAAGGGTCATAGATACTGTGTGCTGGATTTAGACTATGGACTATAGTTTGCTAACGCTTGTCTAAAGCAAAATTATTAGCAATATATTGTGGCTTTATGGCATATGCAAAAGTAAAATGTATTGCCAGAATAACACAAAAGATAGGAGGGAGAAATTGACAATTTACCATTATAAGACCCTTATATTATACATGAAATGGTATAATTTCATTTGAAGGTATGCTGATTAATTGAGACATGCTTTATATATCCTGGGTAACCATTAAAATATTGTAAAAAGAGATTTAAATAATAATCCAATAGTGGAGATAAAATGGAATAATAAAAAAATAGTTAATCCAAAAGTAGGCAGAAAAATAGTGAAAAACAAAGAAAATATGAGACAAATAGAAAGCTAATAAGATGTTAGATTTCAACTCAACCATATCAATACAGGCTATCTTCACCTTGCATGGTAGTATGGAACCATACAAATGACTGTGCAAGCAGAACCATGCAAAATTATTTTAACAGCCAACAGAAAAAATTATAATTGTTACACAACGTTTAAGATTTTTGTCAAAATATTTTTTAAAACCCACAAAAGATCTCTTCTTCTTCATTATAACATATAGGACAATAAAAAATAGTAAAATAAATATTTATTCAGTACCCTATCATTGAAAACATTAGAAACATTAAAAATTAATGTGATTGTAAAAAAAAAAACTTGTCAAGAATAGCTTGAGTAGGCCTTGGAAAATAAGATGCATTCAGTTAGGAGACCGTCAGCCTAGTTTAAGTGGAAACTGAGACAGCTCGTTTGGACAGCAGCAATGAAAAGGACCAAACCAGTCCAGGCCTGAATGTGATCTCACACTGGGCCCATGAGATGTAAAGAGCCAGGATGTGACTGCAGCCGCTTGGCCCTGCTTGGTAAAAGATTTGACAAATGTAGTAGCAGTGACTTCAAGCTGATAACAATGAAACCTTTAGGACTTGTTCCTCCATGGGAAAACTAATATGCTTTACTACATATTAAAAACATTCAACCCCCCCAAAAAAGAATAGTTTGAGTAGTGCATGTCTTTCTTTTCTCTTCATATAACTACTGATGTAGAGTGATATGCCACGTTCCTGTGTCATAGTGAGTTGTCATACTTCCTTCTAAGTTTAGGTTAGTCCAA